GTGGATGCCCTTTCCTGGGGCTGGGCTGGGGGGGCCCTGAGTCCTCGGCCCCCTGCTCTGGGTGATGCTCAGGGTCTCCCCCTGGGGGCTCCAAACCCCCTGCTTGGAGTGGGTGAGTGTGGGGGGGCCTGTGACCTCCCCCTCCTGGGGTGGGTGGGGCTGTGATGAGCCCCCCTTTCCTGCCCAGTGCTGGGTGTGATGGGGGGGGGGGAGGTTGATTTCTGCAGTCCTGAAGCACCCTGGGGAATCCCGTCTCACCTGGTGGGGGGGCAGGTAACTCCTTGCTCCCCAGAGGAAAGGGCTTTGCCCTTGGTTGGGGAGTGGGGGTGGGCTCCCTGCACACCTCTGCTTGGGGACTGGGGGGTGGTCCATGCAAGCTGTGATGCAGGGCATCAGTGGGGAGCGCCCTGTGGGGGAGTGTGGCCTGTCGGGCCCTCGGGTCCTCGTGTGACCGTCGCGCCTGAGCCCCCACCTGGAGCAGGGCTGGGTTGGAAGCAAAACCAGATCCTCCCCCGCTTGCCTGCAAACACAACCAGTGTCTCCTATCGCGGTTGCCTGCGGGTATCATGGGCTGGGGTCCGCACATGCAGCCCCGATGGCCGTGGCCCGGACACCGAGACGAAGCCAGGCGCAGCTGGACCCGCACCCAGAGGCCTGGGGCAGTCGTCACAGGCTGGAGAGGGGACTCCTGATGGTCGAAACAGTGGCGGAGGAGCAACCTATGTGGCTGGGGGTGGCTTGTTCTCCAGGGAGATGAGATCTCTCCTCTACCCCCGTGCCAGGGAGCTCTTGCATTACCACGGACTCGGCGGCAATGCCGGCGCTTGCCCCTGTTGCTTGCAGGGGTCCTGCTGGAGCCAGAGCTCGGGGCAGGGAGGCTTTTTCCCTTGGTCTTGCCATGCCTGGCCCGGGCAGTCCGTCGCTTTTAGTGTCCAGCCGTAGAATGGGAAGTGAAACCTGCGTTGTAGCAACACAAGGAGAGTCCCAAGCAAAGAAAACAAGTGGCTTTCTCGGAAAGAAGCTGGTGCTGTCTGTGTGCCAGCTGTGACCTCTTACCCACCCCTAGCCTGAGCTTGGAGGCTTCTCGTTCTTGCCAGATCCAAGGCCCCGGGCAGCAGGGAGTCCTGGCCAAAGGCATCCACGTCTTCAGCTGCCTCCGTGCCCTTCCCCAGCTCTTGTTTGGTCTCTGGGGGCTTTGCACCTCTGATAAAGTCCAGGGGACAGGGGCTGTGGTGTCCTGCCCTGCACCTCAGTAGGGACCTAACCCC